AATGAGAAAGGTTAGATTCTCCAGAAATGAAAATGTAGATTCTCCAAGTAGAGATAACTAACTAGCTTCAAGGGCCATCTTTATCAAACTCGAGGCAGTGGTAAACTTCCTCTCATAAAGTTTGGGCATAATAGCAAAGGTACTATTTCCTGGAAAAGGACATCATGCTTGATAACGGAGAAAACCCAAACCAAACCCCCAATCTCACTGCCGGTGAGTTGATCCCAACTCACAGCAGCCCTAGCGGGCAGGGCAGGGTAGAACTGCCCTTGTGAGTTTTTGAGACAGTGTCAGTGACAAAGAGGAAGACCCTTGGTCAGGTGGATGGACACAGTGGCTGCAAAGATGGGCTCAGGCATCCCCACAGTTGTAGGATGGTGCAGGACCAGGCAGTGCCTTGTTCTGTGATGCCGCCTAACAAGAAGATCATTTAACAAGAGCGAGGAGGGCAGAGGAACAACAATAGGGTTCTGTACATATAAGGGGTCATCTTATGATCCAGTGCTCCTAGAAATCTACTGTGCTCACTGCCAACTCCAGATATGAGAGCAGTCACCAATAATAAAAGTAACAGCTTTGAGTTTGGCCCCAGTGTTACCTGTATGTTGGTGCTGCTGTTTCCATCTGAGGGCCCAAACCTACAAATCTCAGTAGTATTGAGAGGGCTTACACATTGGTATAGGTTCATAGCAAACTTAACCAGAATAGCCTATTTCTACTGTTGGCATGGTGGTGGGGTTGACACATGGGGCTGCTAACTACAAGGTCAGCAGTTCAAAATCACCAGCTGATCCACAGGAGAAAGATGAGGCTTTCTGCTCCCGTAAAGATTTATAGCCTTAGAAATGCACAGGGGCAGGTCTACTCTGGCCTACAAGGTTGAGGGCCACTGGATGACAGTGAGTTTGGTTTTGAAGTTCTGGAAACCTCAAAGTCACAGTCCCTAATATCAAACCGGTAGGTAGGTACCAAGGAAGAAAAGGCACGTTGATCTGCTTCTATTACCATTACAGCCAATAAAACCCTGTGGGGCAGTCTATTTGGTAACACACACGGTCACCAAGAGATGGATCTACTCAACTAACAACATCTAACAACAGGTCATGAAAAAAACAGAACCAAGAAAACTTTGAAGGGCCTCAGCTCCTAGAAACGAAGCAAGACTAGAAACAAACATCCTAACTGCCAAGTTCTTTCTGTTAGTACAAGTGCCCCTGCTCCTGCTTGGGAGTTGCTGTAGTAGAAGGAACAGGGTTCCCTTTGTAAAGCTCCCTTGGCTGAGTCCTTAGGCGCCACTGAGTGTCAGGTTAACAGCTCAGAAAGCCTTTATTCCTCATACCTTCCATTCGGACTTTGCTTTTTACATGCTGTACATCGGGTTTGTTTGTGTCAGTATTTGTCAGTAATATCACTTACATTGTCCTTGAGAATTTAGAACGCAGTGTCACACTACAATGCCTCGTGCCTACTTGAGAGTTACATCCCTGGGTCTTTACAGTTACCCTTTAATAAGGTATTATTATACAGATAAACGATGGATCATGTCCCAATAAAACGTAAAAAAAAATTAGGAATTTGCAATAAATAAATAAATGGAACATTGAAAGAAAAAAAAAAAAAAGCGACAATGGCTCAAGAGTCATCGCTAAGCGAAAAGCTTCAATTCTCCGAAGCTTTTCCCTTGGTGATTCTATGCTTTAGGACGGTCATAGGAACCAGAGCGAGATTTTCCGATGTCCCAGAAAACGCCAAGCAAAATGGAAGGTTTGCTAAGGCCGTCCATCCATCCCTGCAGGAAGTCTCCGGCCTTTCCTCCGGCCCCGCGGTGTGCGGGGCGGGG